GATGTGGGGTGGACCCCTTATTTTCCTCTGTTGGGGGGTCTGGTGACTGAGATGGGGGGTCTGGTGTCACATGGTGCTGTCGTGGCCAGGGAATTCCAGTTACCTTGTGTGGTCAACGTACCCAATGCCACTCAATTGTTAAAGTCAGGTATGTGCTGAATCTACAATCAAATCACTGTGTTTTACTGTTGAATATGAATTGAACAAGGAAAAACAGTTGAACATTTTTCAGTCCTCATTGGATATGTAGAATTTTCTAGTTATATTTCTGAAACTAGAATGAATTGAACAAGCAAATGCAAATTATCAGGATATTTTGTGAAATAAACATACATATTACAGGAATCTAAATTATACAGAGATAATGTTCTCTTTGAAATTCAATTGCAGGTGATGAGGTAGTACTTGATGGATTAGCAGGAAAAATTGAAAAACTTGAAGGAAGTGAGAAAGATATTAACCAAACATGAAAATTGGGACCAAAAAAAAAAACAACAACAAAACATATTGTACCAACCTCAAATTGAAACTTCACATTGAATACATTCGTGTAACAATCATATGCATGTGTAAATCATATTTATGCGCCAGATTAATTTTGTTAAAAATTTGTCACCACATTCAGAGAAACCAGTTTTACCCTAGCATATTTTTTAAAATACATAATGCAGAGATATTCAGAATTTTTTTTTTCTTGAAAGGTTGAATAAGGCTTAAACATAAATTGCCTTTTGCTCAGGGCCTACATGTACATAACAATCACTGCACCTTCAACTGTTTCATTTAGCTGCAATTATATGTGAATGAACTTGCAGTATTCAAAGTACTGTATACAGGGTGGTTTTCGCCCTTTCACACTTGGAAACAATTTTGCCCTGTTTTATATTTGCCCAGCTACAATTATGTTTAAGAAGTCCTGCTGTGTATTTTTAATTCCACCCACCTGTGGGTAAGGTGAAAGGGACGAAATTAAAACGTGGGCGAAAATTTCCCTGCATACAGTAATGTATATTGTTCCAAGAGCAGAGGTGAAAAAGAACATACTAAAAATATTTCCAATTGAAGAAGGGCATTTGACTTTGAGATTATTGTATACAAAATATAATAAAATGTTGATGACACATTAAGATTATTGTTATTGTCTTGAATATGTACATTGTTTAAGCTTAAATGAGATACCTGGAAGTAAATTACCAGAATAAATTTCCTGACCTCACATTATTAAACTGAGGAAGGTCCTCATTGAAATATCATGTGTAGATGAGAAAAAAGTAATTACTATATACAAAGTTATTTTTGCCCTTTTACACCTGCAAATAATTTTGCCCCATATGGAATTTGCACAGACACAGTTCTGTTTTGAATTTGCCTCATTTTAAATAAAACAGTGGGAAATTTCCCTGTATAGAGTACATGTATTGATGACATAGAAGATCATGAGTACGTCACATAAAAAATCATTCCATGGAAAAAAGCTCATCTGAGTCAATCAAAGGCTAAAGTGGGCTTTTATATATTACTGCATTTAGTTTGTTTAATACTCTGAGGCAGAGGAGAAGATTTTCAAATAATTGATGCACTTTTGGTATACATTGTATATTCAAAAGAGCCCCATCCAAACACCAGAACCACTGACCACGGGGCCTTGAAATTCACAATCTGGAATTTTAAGAAGAACCCTTGCTTATCATAGGACAATTCTCAAACAATATCAAGGAGCAGAGGAAAAGAATTGTAAAGCATTTATGTATTTTCACTTTATTAGGTCACCTGAGTAAATGACATTGCTACATGTATCTGTTTTCGTCCGTTGTTGTGTGTTGTTCGCCGTATGTTAACATTTGAACATTTTCAGCTTCTTCTCTGCAACCATTCAACCAATTTCAACCATGCAATTTTGCATAAAGCATATATGGGTGAAGGGAAACAAAATTTGTGAATTTCAGGGCCCCTGGGTCGGGGGGGGGGGTTCTAGTGTTAGGGTGGGGCTCTAATGATTGTATAGTGAAAAGCATGAGTTCTTTGATTTTTTTTCCTATGCTCCTTCAGTATAATGCCAATGATCTAAGTACATATTTATGATGAAAAAAAAGGTGCATCTTCCTAATTGGGGGGAGGGTTTCTGAGGTGGAATAAATTAATGCTTTAAAATCTGTTCTTTAAATTGTTTTATATAATTAACCATTTCTGATGAAATAGAATTTATGATAAAATTGCCAAAATTTTGAAATATGTGGCCCCCACTGGTTCCTGTGGGGAGGGTGCACATTTGGTTATAAACTAGAAATGATTTTTTCTTTGTTACGCTGATCTACCTTTGGGTTTTTAAGTAATCAAAGTAAACATGCAAAGTGTTTAGTTATGGTAAGCAATGGCGCGTCTTTCAAATTATAAATTCCATGGCCTCTGGTTTAAAACACCAAAATTAATTCAATTGTTGGAAAGTTGTTACATGATACTCAGGTGATCTATAAGACGTACCCGTAGGGCTCTTAATAAAATGAATTAGCCCCCATGAAACACCTGACCCTGGGACCACATCTTTCACAATTTTGGAAAAGGCACTCTTGCTCATCCTAACCATGCACTAAGCTCATCGACTTAATACATGTATCGGTAATACACAGGACCAGAAAAGAATTAAGATTTTCATAGAATTTATGCATTTTCACTATAATTATGCTACTATTCGAGCCCTACCCTATAAATATCAGAACCACTGAACCAGGGATCATTAAATTCTCAATTTTGGAAGAGTCACTCTTGCTTGTCATAATTTATTTTATTGTTAGATTAATAGCAAGGGGCAGAGGAGCAGTTTTTTTTTCAGACAAAATGCATTGTCACTATATAATAAATTACACCCCTGGCCCTGGGGTTAAATCTTTCACAAGAGACACCCTTGATCCTATTTATCATTCATTTAACATTTTTGTGTTTAATTCATTTGCTTCATTCCCGGGAGCAGAACAGAAGAGTTTTAATTTTAAAGAATTTAATGCTTTTTAACTAAACACCTGAACCCCTGTACAGAGAATCAACATAAAATTCAGAATTCTGGAACGAGACGCACACTTGACAACTTTGGAAGACCCCCTCCTCCTCATAACTGTTTGCTTAATTTTTTTTGTTTAATATCCAGGAGCTGAAAAGAAGATGTTTAAAGAATTAATTATTTTCTTTATATTCAAAAGAGTCCAGCCCTATCATCAGAATCCCTGACCCTCCATGGGCCCATGAATTTCACAATTTTGGTACATGCAGGGCTCAATGTTATTACAACATACCAAATATTATAGGCGTCGGAAGCAAATTGAAAGTGGGGGGGGGAGGCTAATTGAAAGTGGGGGGGGGGGGGCTAAACCAACAAAAAAGGTAAACCCCAATTTTCAATACATAGAAAATGTCTATATCTTTGCCAAAAAAGTAGGGGGGGGGAGCCCCTCCCCTAGCTCTCCCCCTCACGGTTCCGACGCCTATGTGCCAACAGTTTGATTGTTTGATTGATGTCCAGGAGTAAAGAAGACGATTTTTATATTAAAGATACCATGCACTTATTTTGATTGGTTTAGTCCCACACCTCAGGTCCCATTGGGGGAGGGAGGCAGGGATCGTGAAATTCTTTTTTTATACCCCTTTACCTATTGATACCAAGTATCTGTCGACCGTCATGCACACCAAAATGCAGGTATTTATATGTGGCGGTTACTATAGAAACATTTATCTGGCAGCCGCCAGGTCTGTAATATTTATTTGGAAAAAAAATTTTCCCTTTTAATTTTGTCACCAGGTGTTCATTATATGCCGTGCAATCGCCAGATAATTTTTATAGCAATCGGAAACACCAATGTATCTGGTGGACACGAGATAAAATATTTCTTCTACCTGGCACCTACTGGCTTTTGTAAAATAGTTCCTGAGTCTAAAGAATTTATTTATCACCAAATTTACTGAATATTTTGCATAAAATATTTGTATATGTGGCGGTTACTATAGAAACATTTATCAAGTGGAGAGAGAGAAAGAGAGAGAAAATAAAACGTTTTTGTAAATATATATTATGGAAACCGCCAACATAATTTTTCACTTCACTATTACTTTTTTAATTGGCAGAAAACCACTTATTTTTATATATATCTTATAATGATATGTAACATGTAAGGTTAAATTTCATTTGATATTAGATTCCCACGAGCTGTGGCTGTGTTGGCTATAAATGTACCTTTTTTATCATATATCTTTTGAAGGTATTACTATTGTATATCTGGTGGACACGAGATCCCCCAAAAATATTTTAAAAGACAATTCTACCTGGCAAACCTACTGGTTTTTTGTGTGAAAGAGTTCCTGAGTCTAAAGAATTTATTTATCACCAAATTTACTGAATATTATGCATAAAATATTTGTAAAGTATCACCTGCATGTCTTAAGTGGGGCTTTGTAAAAGCAGGTTGGCTAATGAAGGAGCAAAATTGGTACCCATTGAAATGTTAAAAAGTATTTTGCATGTGTTGGAAGACCTGTTTTTTGCAAACTACATATATCTTGTCAATGAGAATGTCCATCATCATTTTGATATTTAAAACTTCAGAGTACATTTTTGTATATTTGGAATGATTTCTAAAAAATTTAAGTCCAATCAAAAGATATGAGTTTCGTTTTTATAATTGAAGAGGCAGATACCTATATAGTTTTAAATTCATGTGGAGTAATGGTTTATAAAATGTAGAAAAAGTCGTCAGTTTTAATTTTCTTGACTTATAAAATATATAGGCCTATTATAAGTGAGTTCGTTATTTTTATTTTTTTTTTTTTAAGATTTTTTTGGGGGGGGGGGGGGAAGAATCCATACTTGTCCTCTTCTGTATTCTGTAATACTTCTTGAATACACTCGGACAGCTGGAGAGGAACTAAATACTTCTTTTGGTGACAAAATAATGAATGGGCTTAATTGTTTCGGCTTCAAATTTGATTAACACCGCCAGTCAGCGGAAGTAAGCATATCCCATAATTCTACCATGGAAACATCAACATGGCTGCACCGAGCGAAGTGACAGCTCTACTAAAACGAGGGAAACGTAGCGTTGCCAGTCTCTTTAAAGGAGAGTGGTCTCGACGGAATGGTTCCCCGAAAGCTTTCAAAGAATTTCTTGACTATTTATTCGATCCCAGGCGGAAGTCAATCGAAGACGTGGACACGATAGACTGGTGTCGATGGATTATTGCAGGAGGAGCAACATTTGATGAATTTTCTGCTGCAGGTGCGCAAGAAAAATGAGTTCATATGTACCAAAAGACCAAACTGATAAGATTATTCGAGGCAATCATAATAATTACAACAACAACAAAAATTGCGATTAAAATTAATTCCACATTGGGTTCACTTCCATTTTTTAATTACCAACAAAGAATGTAAACATAAAAGGAACATACTAAAGACCTGATATACTAAAGACCTGATATTTTGACCTGATGAAAAAAAAAATCACATAAAATTATCTATTTAAACATTCTGTTTCAATTTTTTAGAAAATTATTAAATGCTATACTTAAATACACTTTAAGTAGATAACTCTGAGACTTTTTTCTTTGTATCAAAGTGTTCTTACAAAAACTTGTTGACCTGATATTTTGAATGACCTGATATTTCTAGTGAAGACCTGATATTTTTATAAATGACTCTCAATGGAAGGATTTGAATGACTTGATATTTATTTATAATTCTTTTAGAAAAATTAAACACTTTAAATGGTTTTCAAACAAATCTTTTTTGCCAGAACTAAGGAAAAGAATTGACCTGATGATTTGAAATGACCTGATGATTTTCCACTAAAGACCTGATATTTTTTAATGACCTGATATTTTTAAATGATGTGGTGGGTTCAAATGACCTGATTTATATTCTTATAGTATATTTTTAGCAAAATAAAGCAGATTTCAATGTTAAACTTGATAAAATTTGAATATTTGTAGCTACTCCATTTCGTTTAAAAATATCAGGTCTGTAAAGTAAAATTATCAGGTCATTCAAAATATCAGGTCATCGAGATTTGTGAATATACCTTAATACATAGCCAAAAAATCTACTTTATATCCACTAAAAGTGTATTTTTGTATAGTATTAGCTACAATCATTAATATTTTTGCCCCAGAAATATGAAATATAATGTTGAAATTGATAATTTATATGAAATATTTTTTTCATCAGGTCAATTATCAGGTCTTTAGTATATCAGGTCTTTAGTATGTTCCAACATAAAATGTTATGTAATGTTATTTTGATTCTGTCAGTGGATTATAAGATTAGTAAATCCTATTTTCTATTTTGCAGTGAAACAGTATGATAATGCTGTGACGTGTGGCCTGGTATGGACTAAGAATTTTGTAGCCTATCGCTGCAGAACATGTGGAATATCGCCTTGTATGTCCCTGTGTTATGAATGTTTTCATTCCGGAAACCATGAGGGACATGATTTTAATATGTTCCGGAGTCAGGCCGGTGGGGCCTGTGACTGTGGGGATGTCAGCGTCCTCAATAAATCAGGGTAAGTAATGCTGAGACTTTGTTTGAAAATATAAATTGATCCACCCAAACTTACAATATACATGTAAATAAATGTTACCAAAAAAAAACCCCTGTTATTTTGACTTAAAAATTCCAGTAATGTGATTGGTTGATAACTTTGTTTGCTGTTGAAGTTATGTTTGTTGAAATTTATAGCTCTTTTGTTAAGCTTCTACACTAGTTAGCAAACATGACAATTGTCCACTAATGGATTTCATTGCCTGACATGCCTGACTGTTTATATCTATAACAGTCTATTCATTCTATTGGTCGATTGTGTTGTTCAGGTTCTGTTCTCGTCATGGTCCAGACAGGAAGAACCTGAATGTGACCCCGCCCCCTGACCTGCTCGCCATTGCCGAAGCTCTGATGCCCAGGATCATTCTAAGACTTATTCATCATTTCCGGGACAATTGCAAACCCATTGGTAACAAAAAAGTTTTTTGAATCTTTGCATTTAAAAGGATTAAAAACATACTTGTACATTAAAACATATATTTTCATTTTGTATGTATATAATTTAATTTTATTTGTATTCTCGCCTCTCATTGGTTGATTTCCAAAAAGGAACGCATAACATTTTGTATAATCTGGTTTGGTATGGGGACACACCCCCTTGACGACCAGCTTAATCATATCCATGCAATCCCGTCATTTCCAGTCCTCGGAATCCATGGAAAATTCCAGATTTAATAAATGTACCTTCAACTTTAAACAATTACTCGTTCATACCTCATGTAAACAAACATCATGGCTGCTAGATCTAGATCAGTTATTACCTCCCCTCTCTTCAAATCACTTCCGTTACTACGGTTGTATTATTGCTCGGTAAATTTGAACTTATAAAAAGCAACATAATTTTACATCAAAAGTTGTTTAATTATTTCAAAATTAAATTATAAGGAATGTAAATTGTTGGCCATATTATCGAGTATAATCTTGTTTTTTTACGCTTTTTTATAATCCGCTTCGCGGATTATGTGTTAATATCAGATTATACTCGATAATATGGCCAAGAATTAGAGTTATTCCTTAAATAAAGTAATGATGATTGAATTATTTTTAACATTCCCTTCTCCCAAGACTGTAGAACACAAATAAAACTATGCTTAACATATGTGAAAAAGATAAACAAAATTAACACAAGAAGATAATAGATAATGTAATTACATAATGTACAGATTGTTTTATCTTTAACAGCATACCGGGATACATTCAGTCTGGCAATGAATGACGCAGAGCACTTCCTGTCTTTCCTACATAGTTTAAGTGATATGGGTGCAGCCATGCGCAAAGTAATGGGACTAGCTTTGACAAACACTACTATGTATAAATATTTAACAGAAGGTAAATTTAATGCCAAGATTTTGGAAATACAGTTGAACTTTGTTATCTCGAACTCCGATATTTCGAATACCATGGATATGTTGAAGTTACTTGGAAGTCCCAACCACATATTCTTTAAGTATTTAACCCTCGATATCTCGAATCCTCAGATATCTCTAAGTTTTTTCTCAGTCCCTTCAGGTTCGAGATAACAAAGTTTGACTGTATTATAATATACATGTATCTGATCATAATTGCCCCTCCTTAAAATAAATTTGTCAGAATAGACAAAATCTGCAAAGCGTACTAGGGCTGTCACGGTTCCAAAATTTTTCGGGTCGGTTCTGATTTTTTTAGGTTCGGTTTCGGGTTTCTCGGGTCGGGTAGGTAATGGAAGAAAAGCTCATGATTTGTATTATTTTAAACAATAAAAAGAATATTTTCATTTAATCTTAGAAATTGCAACATTATAACCAGTTTAAAGTAACCTCCTGACTAGACAACAATTGTACCAAATTATTTAAATCACCTTATAATGACAATGTACTAACCAATCTCTCGTTTTTGACGCCATTTTTATAGCAAAATCTACTCTATGATACAAATCGGAACCGAACTGAATTCCGGAAAAACGGAACCGTACCCGACCCGAATTAATTGTTCCGCGGTTCCGGGTCATTTCGGGTACCCGTGACAGCCCTAAAGCGTACCAATTATATTAGAAGAATAGAAATCTTAAATGCAAACTGTAAATGATCACTCTAGCATTTCTCATGCAGATTGATCAAATATGTAGCCTATTTTACATTATGATAGTGTAATCTTTTCCTGTTAAAACTGATTAATGCTTTAAGCAAGTGCACTTAAGTGCATAGGTAAATTTGACCTGTGCTTCAGATATGTGTTCAGTTAATTAGTTTTTCTATCTGTATTAAAAAGTATTGAGAAGTTTTTTTACAGACTATTATCAGGTGCTTGAAATTTAAAATAAGTGATATTGTTATATTGTCACAGTTGAGGAGCTGCCTGATTACTCCAACAGTTACTTTGTAGACAGCCAAAAGAACTATAAGATGGAGCTGAATAGTCTCAGTGTTCCTAAGGGATTCGAGGACTTTGATCGTACGTAAACTAAAAACAAAGTGGAGTAGGGAAAGAATCAGTTTCTTATGGAAATTTTAGCAGAATTTTTCAATTCTGCAATTAAATATGATATTTTATTGTCAAGTGTTTAAAGTCAATCAAATTAATTTCATATTTTATTCTATTTTAAAGTAGATACTGTAAATCAATCTGTGACGATTTATTTTCATGAATAAGGAAACATTTTCTACAAAAACAAAGCAAAATAAATGGTTTGCAGCAATTAATATTGGCCAATTAAAGTAGGTCATGAAACTCGCGAATACTTCTGGCACACGAATAAAAGTTGGTTTTCAGTATCTCAGCAAAGTTGTTATTTCAGAATTGTTTCCTAAAAATTTATATTAACAAAAGTAGTTTAATATGAATATAAAAGACAGAGTACACATTATTATTTATGCCTTATACAATTGTATTTAGATACACATGTAGTACTACACTTTTCATCACATGTACAATGGTTTATCAGCCTGTCATACACATATTGTACTACACTTTACTTTATATGTACAGTGGTTTACTGTTGATTACAGGTTTACCTGGCCTGTCCCAGGAGCTACATCACAACTGTTTACTGGATGAGCTGGTCTTCTGGATGGTCAAGTATGAGTTTCCCGAGAAACTGGTCACGCTACTGTTAAGTCTTCTGCCAGATGACCACTATAAGGTAGGAGATCTAGGATAAAATACTGTAAACAACTATTATTAGTGTCATCTTTTATTCGCGATTCGTCAGTATGAAATCATTCCACTGCAATCAATTTTCTTGAATAAGGAAACATTTTCTACGAAACATAGCAAAATAAATGATTTTCGGCGATTAAAATTCATGACTTAAAGTAGGCCGTGAAACTCGCGAATATCTGTCACTAGCGAATAAAAGTTTACAGTAACATGTTGGTCGCCCTACTTTAGAATTTTGTATGTACAGGATTATATGTATAAGTACATAAAAGGAATGTATAAGTACATAACAGGAATTACTAAGACAGACTAACAATATTTTATCTAACAGATGGTTTTCTTTATAGACACTCTGTAGAGAGTGTAGTTGTAAAATTGTAAAATTAGATACTGGGGAATTATGTAATTTGTTGGGGGGGGGGGGGGGGTCAATGTTCATGGACAAGTAAAATTTTACTTGTTTGTAGGGTTATAATTTTATGGGTTACTTGACATAATATTAAAAATAAATTCAGTGAATAAATACTTTTACAAAATAAATGTTTGTGGGGATGTAAATTCTTGGGAAGGGGCTGTCAACTCCCTTTAATGTATCATTATATGCCTTGTATTTTACATTTCCCTGTATTGATTATTTTTCTGGCATTCACATACGTACATACATACCAGTGTTCAAGAATATGATACTGTACAACGAGAAAATTTGGCACATACGTATTTTAGCGCAAAAGCTAGTGGGAATGCATTGGCGCAAATAAATTTTAGCGCTTGCACTTGTCAGTAAAATATATTAAAGTGATATTTTGTTTTTTTTAATCAACACCCGTATTTGACTTTTTTGGTTAGTCAAGCATGGAGACACATCAGTACTCCCGTATATCAGTAAACATTTGTTACCTTTACCGCGGTACGTATTGCTATGACATGGACGTGGTACAATGTTAAAATTTATTTCTATTTTCAATTAAAAAAATTGAGTATTTACTCATTGAATTTACATTAAAACAATGCATGCATCGACAGAAAATTACTTAGATAAAACGGTAATCCTAATCAGGAGATCGAAACATAAAGCTTGCTAAGTTTTTGACTTAAGTAGGTCGTAAGTACGTTTTAGGCACAATCTTAGGACCTGTCTAAGTACTACTTAAGTTTGTCTTAAACCGTAACATAAAGCGAACTTAGCTAGGTCTTAGCTAAGTCAAACTTATATTAAAAATATTTCATACGAATCAACCCATGGTTTTTCATTTATATAGATATATTGCTAAAAGTGATTCAGTTAGGGTTTAAATTAAATGTACATGTTTATTAAAGTTGATGCCTTTACCTATCGGATTTAGTTATGTTAGATTTGATTTCGTATTAAAATGTTGATTCTGTTATAAATCATTCGGAATATTCGAAAACAAATATACTGCACGGTCACACCGTATTCGTGGTTCATCGTAAATGTACGACTATTGTTTTATCGATCACTTGAGATGTTTTCAGTTAACTTTTTGTCACTCTTTTGTTAAATGACAAAAGTTCACTTGCTTCGTTATTCTCGCAAACATAACAAGATAACCGACCATCTTTCTACTTGAAATTGAAAGTCTAAAAAGTAAAATTCAAAACGTTTTGAATCCCCCTATATGTATCAGGCCATGCATGTATGTAGCAAAGACTGCGTAAGTTAATTCTGATATACCCATTTGCAATTTAATCAAGGCTGCAAAAAAGGGGATATTTTTCGTATGTCTCCAATTATCAGCAAATCTCTCTCTCTCTCTCTCTCTCTGGGACTATAGTGAGCCCTGTCTAAATCCGCTTTTGTCGCATTCTACAGTTATTCTACTTTACAGATTCTTTTTATTACTGTTTTCGCCATCATCCTCTTTCTTTTCTCTTTTAAAAAAATATTTCATCTCATATTTTCAAAGTGAACACAATGATCCATGATTTATTACTGTGTTCAATTTTTTTCTATAACCGAGGTCCCACTGACACCCCCCCCCCCGGACGAAAAACTAAAATTCTTAAATAGGTATAAAATAGAAATAATTGTTTTCTATAACGCATAATATGAATAGAAGAATGTTTTAACGTCGAAAGTCAACATTTAAAATTTTCAAACATATGTATAAGAAAGTTAAGATATACTTAAGTCACCTCTACCGGCCGCCTAAGTTTTGCTAAGATTGCCAAATCTTAGTACGCTTCTAGTTACGGTCTTAAGTTTTATACTGTACTTAAGTCCTACTTAAGCACAGTCTTAGACTTAAGTAGCCTTTACATTACGAGCCCCAGGTTTTGTCTGCAAGCTCAATCACCATGCTTGATTGCATTGTTTACCTCGAGGCGATAGATGATTGAGATGCCGAGAAGCCAAACTTTGAAGGTGCTAATGATAGTAATCGAGAAACAACTACCAGGGTAACAATAGTTTAATTAAATTATAATTTGGCAGAACTTTCTGTCTTCCGAACATGTACAGTGCTAGTGTGTATGTAAAATCCAAAGACCCTTTTACATTACGTAATCGCGCGTTCCGGTTTACATGTACTTACGTAAAAGCTTTGAACACACACAAAAATGATATTTAGAGATCCTTTAGCGCACAATATATTTTAGTGCTCAGGGGCTCTTGCGCCAATTAAAGGCCCTAAAATTAGTAGTGCGCCAAATATTCTCATTTTACAGTATTCATTTTTACTAACTGAAAACCAAAAAGTATTAAAGTAAAAACTATTTATCATTGAGATTCTGTTTTTAACAGGAGGCGTTCACTAAGGCGTTTGTGAAGCACTACAGCAGGATATCCCTGGTGCTGGTGAAGGGCCTGAAGCGGACGGAGATCGGGAATCGAGTCGTCCACATCAGTGTCCAGTTATTTAGTAACGAGAGATTGGCCTGTCAGATGGTACAGGAGTATAACTTACTCTACACACTCATCATCAGCCTCACCCACATGATAGAGAATACTCTACTGGAGAGTTCACTGGAGGGTTAGTATAGAGTTTAGTGGAGAGTTCACTGGAGGGTTAGTGTAGAGAATACTCTGCTGGAGAGTTCACTGGAGGGTAGGTATAGAGATTAGTGGAGAGTTCAATAGAGGGTTAGTATAGAGATTCTACTGGAGAGTTCACTGGAGGGTTAGTATAGAGATTAGTGGAGAGTTCACTGGAGGGTTAGTATAGAGAATACTCTACTGGAGAGTTCACTGGAGGGTTAGTATAGAGATTAGTGTAGAGTTCAACAGAGGGTTAGTATAGAGATTCTACTGGAGAGTTCACTGGAGGGTTAGTATAGAGATATCTCTACTGGAGAGTTCACCAGAGAGTTAGTGTAGAGAATTCTCTACTGGAAAGTTCACTTGATGGTTAGTGTACAGAATTCTCTACTGGAAAGTTAACCAGAGGGTTAATGTAGAGAATTCTCTATTGGAGAGTTCACTGGAGGATTAGTATAGAAATAACTTAAGAGTTTATATTTTTTGTATTGATATATGTACATGTATTTGTATAGAGATATCTCTATTGGAAAGTTTAAGATAGCATTAGAAATAACTCTCAAGGAATTCACTCAGAGGTTAGTAATAAAGTATGCTTGTTTGAGACTCCACTTTAGAGTCTTAGCTCCACACTTCTGCAACTGGTTTGCATATTCAATACGGTTAAAAATAAATTCCCCAAAAAATCATTTTCTAAATGGTGTTTAATCTTTTGACAGATTTCCGACTGAACTTCCACATGGTGGTGGACTGTACCAATGAGATTATGAAGGAGCACATCTACTGGCCCATCGTCAGCGATTTCATCAACCTCCTGGCCCATAAGAAGGTGGCCCACAAGTTCCTCTCTGACAGTAAGCTAGTGGTCATGTGGCTGGACCTCCTGTCTTACTTCCAAGGAATGAATCTCAACCATCGAGAGCTCAGTCAGCACGTGGAGTTTGAGTCCGAGACCTACTATGCTGCTTTTTCAGCGGAACTCGAGATCGCTTCAGCCCCCATGTGGTCCTTAATATCTCATTGTAAAACGCCAGTAAGTGAATCTTAGGTTTTAGTCATTATTAACACTTCATCAATAAATCTTGTATAAAAATGTAGGAATTTACATCCATCCAAGAAAATGTGCCTTTAACACAGCTACATTAACATTTATTTGAGCTAAGTTTACTACAGCAAAACTTGGTTATAACGAAGTCACAGGGACCTATGAAATACTTCGCTATATCCGTAATTTGTTATAACGGTATAAGAAATTCATTAAATTTATATAGCTGGGGATCCAAGATGATTTCGCTATATCCGTAAATTCGCAATATCCATGTTCATACTTAACAAGTTTTGCTGTACTAAGTTTGGTTAAAAAGATTGTCTCTGAGGTGATAAGGCACATCAGTAAAACATGCTTATACACGGATATATTTACAAGTAATTATAAGTTTATTAAGCAAAATCATCCATCCCAGGCACTACGTTATAAGTATATTTTACTCTACATGTACAGTAACAATTATTTGAAGAAATGGAAGATAATATACTTTTTGTACTGGATTTCATAATGTCTATAGTTTGATAGAATTCTGATTTGTTTGTAGGACAGTAAAGAACACGTCCTGAACATGATCAAAGTCTGTGTGGACGCTCTCCAGGACTGGTTTGATGCCATCAACTGTAAAGAGTCCACAAAGGTCAGTGACAAAGCATTCAGAGGTCACAAAGTTCAAAAGTATCAATCAGAAATCTGTGGTTTTGCAAGTAAAATTCTGCAAAATAAAGTTCAATTTGAAAGTGTGTAAAGGATTTACTTACGTTGGAAATTGTCTTGATGTGTGAAGATTCATGTTTGCTTTTTCAGCCAAATCCCTACCAGCTGACCTTTCACCTTCCTCTCCACCGTTACCTAGCAACGTTTATAGAGACTGCGATTACTCATCATAAGTTGACCTTTGATGACCTCCCACTGACCGAGAAAGTCCTAAAAATGACCTTCACTCATCTCTTACAAATACAGGTAAGTACATGTACATGTATGTCATACATGCAATGCAATTTACAGAAAGAAAGTTATGTACATATATATACAGTCAAACCTCCATATCTTTAACTCAGTGGAACCCAGAAAAAAAGATATTGAGGGTAAAATACTCAAAGAATAAGTGGTTGGAACTTATAACTAGCTTTTGACATATCCATGGTATTCTAGATATCAGTGTTAGAGATACTGAGTTCAACTGTACATGTTAGCATCGTTTTCAAAATTGAATATTGTAGATATTAATGTGTTACATGTATATGACAGGAAAAAGCAAGTACATGTTTATCCTATATACAGTTAATTAGTATACAGATCACAAAAAAATCTTTTTCATGTTTATGATATGGCAATTCTAATGCTTAATGCATAATGCAAGATAAAACTCAGCATTCCATTCCAGAATTATTTAAAACTGTACTAGACATTGAGACAAACTTTTTATGAAACTCTCATTGCTATCTGCCACAAATCATATATATTTGACAGTGTGCCTGTGTTTTTAATTGCTGAAAACAATTTTATTGTTCCGTAGGTCTGTCTGGCAGAGATCTACAGCTCTATGTGGGTCAGAAATGGAATTCAGATCAAAGGTCAAGCCATGACCTACATTCAGTGTCACTTCTGTTACTCCATGGGAGATGCTGACCTATATTTAATGCAGGTAAAATCTGACATATCATCATGGCATATGTACAATTCATATGCAAAAAAAATTCTTAACATTATTTATATTTATCGTTAGGAATATTTATATTGAGTTTGAGGTTTTGGTCATTTCAGCTTTGTGCCTGTAAGTTTGATCCTGACTACTTTGTGAGAACAGTGATGGAAAGGTGAATATCTTCAGTGGTATATACTGTAAAGAGCACCATGGGAAATCTGCTCAGAAGTTTAAATCTAAACCATTAAATTCAAATGCCCATTACAATGTTTACCTCAAAGAAGAGCTGTGCAGTATCCATTAAAGCATAGCATTCATGTTTATTCAATGATATTGGAATATTCAATTCAAATATCCAGATGTTAACTTGATGAAGATTTCAGATTGAGAATTGGTTAAATTCCAGTGTTCTAAAGTTAACTTGTACAGATTTCATATTGAGAACTGGTTGAAATTCAAACATTGTAATGTTAACTTGGTACAGATTTCATATTGAGAACTGGTTGACCTTTGGCTCGACCCCAATCAACACCAGCTTTAAGTTAGAGCCTGAACAACAGATAGCCATGGTTGATGCCATTTTACAGTTCTTCACAACACTGTTAGGAGTCAGAACTTACTTAGGTAATGAAATGATTGTGTATTTATCTGTGGTGCATTTCAAGACAAAAATATTGTTTCTAATGTGTATTTCTACTTTATATAGGAAACCTGTGCTCTTTTTTTTCTTTTCCCTCTTTGCCAGTCGCAAATTGAAAGTGAGACAAATTCATTTATGAAACAGTTATCTTTCTTAATGTGTAGTCGTGTCTGGGTAAATACAAAATTGCATAATCAACTGCTATATTCAGTACCTCTTTGTAATTTTAACTAATTGAAACCACAAAATTTGCTAAAATTTGACAACCCCAGAAGTAAATGTGTTGTATAATATTTAGCCGGTATTTCAATACTTACATGTAGGTATTACGGAGAAGGAGCTGACACACCTGGAGATGGCTACTATTCTGTGTTTTGGAGACAAGCCTCACAGTCAGATCATGGACTCCATGCCAGAGAGGTCCGGCATCACAGGACAGAAGGAACTGTTTGAACCCACTCTGGCTGAGGTACCAAGAAATCACATACTTTTAGGGGGGTATTTTTGTTTTTTGTGAAGGGGAGGTGTTATAATTTTTGCAAAGCACTCGAGTGTTTTTTGGGGGGTGGGGGGTGGGTAATGAAACAAATGTATATAATTATAATTATACACAAATTCTTCTGATTTTCTAATTATAGATAGCAGATTACAAGGCACCAAACTTGGAGTCCAGTGGAGGTCTTCAACAGGGGACATACACACCTAAAGGTAAATAATTATACATCCTGACTCCAAGGGGGAGGGGGTGCACACACCTAAGTTGAATATTTATCTTCACTGTTTGGGACATTTAAACCTAATTACATCCTTTCATAAGAAGTTATCAAAGGAATCTCAACAATGAATTATATTAAAAAGACAGCATGTTTAAAGTCAGAGTTCAATCATATGAATAAACGAACATGTCTTAGTTGTCCTTTTATAGTCATTTTGCTTATTTCACTATCTCACTTATTTACACATAGGATAACTCTTTAATGTGAAAAATGCTAGGGAAAGCTTAAACAATGTTCTTCATAAAACCTGTAAAACCTGAGGATGAATTAAAGTAAGTGAGATAAGACCATGGCTAAAAATGATGTTGATTTCAGGCTTTGTTTGGGAAAAGGAATTTGATCCAGTTCATGTGTCCCTCAGAGCTCTTTACAAGAAAGACATACAGACAGCATTAGACAGATACACTGAGCAGTAAGTTGTACTACAAAATCATCATAATTAACTGGAAATATTCTTATCTTTAAGTAGTAATTGTACATTCGAATCAGAAGACTCATTTAATGAAGGTTACTTTTCTATCGAGCCTTTCTTCTTATTTATAGCATTAGACAGTCTGGAAAATACAAATCTAAGACCCCTCCTTGGCCCCCGTTTAGACCCCCAGGGAAAATTTCCCCTGCCTACAAAGATCTGTACAGACTTCTTCACTGTAGAACCATGCATGCATTTCTCTTTACAGTTCTATACAGGGTAAGTCAAAAGTTCATATGTGTTAGTCAAAAAGCAGTTGTCCAAAATCTAAGGAGTAAAATACCGGTAACTGAATTTTCTGTCAGATTTTCTGTTCTTATTCTGTTCTAAGGGGATTTTTTTCTGTATTTTGAATTTTTGATGTAGTCTTTATAATTGACTTCTATTTGTTATCATCAGTTCATGAAGGAAACCAACATTCCAGACAGCATTTTGTACAACACTGTACACCTCCTTGACCTTGCTTTTACCTTGCCCTCTCCTGACACCTGTAGAAAGGTAAGTAAAATATACATACAATATACCAGTAACATGTATAAAGGTGAAAATGTATATCCTATACAAAAGTAAAATACATGTATGTATATCTGTGTATGTGTGTTTGAATTTGAATGATACGATCTAATGACCTAAGTATGGGAAAAAAATTTCAGTCAATCATCACACATGATCATATGACAGGAAATGGAATAAATAAAACATGTTTTCTAATATTTTGAAAATGAAGTTGGTTATGGAATATTATATTATTTTGGATTCTGAACTTTTTAAAGTAACTTAAGTTAGCTTTGTTTACTTTCGCAGTTTAACAAGTCATTCTGCGGTAGCGTGACTGACGTGGACTACCACGACTGGTTCTGTGGTACCAGTATCCACCAGAACGTGCGTGAGGTGGTGAAGGAAGTCCTGATCCCGGTACTGGTGGAGGACTTCCTGCCGTCTTCGCTCTCCACGCTGGAGGAAATGTTCCAGATGGCCCCCAGTGCCATGATGAGTAAGTGACCGAATGTGTGGGGCTGTAACACTAGCTAGTGATTGAAATTTACAAATATGTACTTATATAAGGAAATTTTCACAGGTGGTTTTTTGCCCCTTCTGCCCTACTTAAATGTGGGCAAATTTAAATGGAACGAATTTAAAGAATACAATATAATTTCTTAAACAAAACTGTGACGGGGGGAATTTTGAAAATGGGGCCATATTGTTTGCATATGTGAAAGGGTGAAAATAACATGGCAAATATAACCTTGTTTACAGTGTTGAGAATCCTGCTGCATGCAAATTTCTTACATTGTATGCTTCATGAGAAGGCCATAAAATGAATTTCATACACTGAATAATTGCTCAATTAATTTGTAGCCTTCTTTTGGTAGAATAAGAAATTCATGTTTTTTTCTTGCTGACCCTGCATATATTTGTATTAATTAGTCAAGTAACGATATATACTTGACTGCAGTGTGTAGTACTGTAATTTGAATGAAATTATTGATGATTGGTTTATCTGTAGACACAGCTGGTCCAATCACAGCAGCCCATTCTGGAGCAGTTCCCACTAGTCTGGTTCCCGTCCCTGTATCTGGACACTGCCACCTGGTGACCCACAAGTCTCATCAGGCCGCCGGTAAATCTGATTCTGTGCCAAAATACGAAAACAGAGGAGTCTCCACTGAGCATGCTCAAAAACTGTGTGTCCCAATCAACGAGTGTATTATAAGCATTCTGATGAAAATCCATGCCAAACTGACGGGGCGATCTTGTTCCTACGCCCCGCTGTCTCAGTCTAAGCGACAGCTCTCTGATTCTGTGATAGGAGATGGACCTTTTTTTCTGTGTAAGCTTCTGGACAAAATGTCACAGAGCAGTACGGAGTGTGCGCGTGCCATTGAGGAGGTGTACAGGTCTCTACAGCCCAAGGGGGCATCAGGGGCGGGGAAAAAACGTGACACCGCCAAAGACGAAGAACGGTTAGATATTTGTTTTTAAAAGTTTTTTTTTTGCTTAAGATCAGAAATATTTTCATTAAGAATTGTAATTGCAAACGGCAATGAATGTTAGTTAATTTAGGGGATATCCGTCTAAATAGTGGAGTTAGAAAAGGTTTTACTGTATGTATTTTATATCAAAATTTACTCAGTGGTGGATAAAAGTTATGTGACTTTTACAGGAGGAGAAAGGCTAGGGAGAGACAACAGAAACTCATGAATAAATTTGCCTCCAAACAGAAAGCTTTCATGGAGCACAATCTTCAGCCTGCATCAGGTTTGTTACCCTCATCCCATTCACTAACCCCCCCCCCCCCCCCCCCCGCCCCTTTAAAAAAAACACACAGATCACATCACCATTCATTAACAGCTTTGATTATGCAATAGTTTATAAATTGTTTGAAAAATATTTGAATAGAATTTATGGATTGAAATATGCATTATGTTCTAATTAGGGCCCCGCAAGGATTTGCGGGTGCCCTATAGTAATCACTCTGTCTGTCCGTCTGTCCCTCTTCTGTCCACAAATTTTCTGTTTTTTTCTAATAACTTTTTTTATGGTCGCCCAATCCAGTTCAAATTTGGTATGGTAGTTCAGTAGGCAGAAATACATATTTTGATGCCAAGTTTGGTTCTCAATGTCTTCTGGTTTGGAGCTGGGGTGGTGGGGTAGATTCCTTAACTATGCATATGAATGAATGTGCAATTTTTTTTTATGGTTGCCCAATCAAGTACAAATTTGGTATGGTAGTTCAGTAGGCAGAAATACATATTTTGATGCTAAGTTTGGTTCTCTATGTCCCCTGGTTTGAAGCTGGGGTGGTAGGGTAGATTCCTTAACTTTAGAATGCATTGGCAAAGAGAGATAACTGCTGAAGATGTTCCCATTGTAAAATGAATGCTGGCTATGAGTCCATAGGGATTAATTAGCTTTCCTCCTGAAGAAAATCCAGAGCATTATCTTTATCTGTTACATTGAGATGAATTACCACCTCTGTCTGCAAATGAAGTTTGTTTTGAAGTTAAGTCAATTTGGAATGCTATGAACACTGTGAAATGTGGATTTAGATATAAATTTTTATAATTTATTTTTGTTTAATAGTTATAATTTCATTGAATTCTAAAAACAAGAAATAGATTAAAGAAGATTTTTTGATTTACTTTTTTCACTTTACGTTAATTAATTTTTAAGGTAGTTTTTATAAAAAACCCATTCTATCATTAATACTGAAAAAGTTTTTATTGTAACTTTAGAAGAAAATGATGAGAGAGGTACAATTAATCCTTTGGGATCAATTATCTAGCCTGCTGCAGAAAATTTAGAAGGCTTTTCTTTATCTTTAAGATTAATGAAAACCTTTGTCTGCAACTGCTGTTTATTGAAGTGAAGGTCAAGCCTTCATGATATTTGTATTCATTGAAGGCTGGCATTCTATATAACACAAGCTTCATAATTGTTTAATACATTCAATGTTAAGTTGTTCTTTGCTGGGTAATGTAAATACAAGGATATTATTTTCAGGTTTTTGAATATTCAGGAATTATCTTGAAATTTTAAGAATACAGTTGCTGTTGCTTATTCTTCTACATTTTTTAATCATTCCGTAAGCTGCACCCTTTTAATTCTACCCCATGACGGGGCCCTTGCTGACTGGTCAGTTTTCTAGTTCGACCAATCTCAGCCGAACATAAATTATTTATACCCTCATTTAAAAATCAAAACAAAACACCTGTATTATGGGTAGCAGCTCCAAGACCTGCGCATTTAATTGACGACATTGCTCAACATTTAATGAAGTGCTTCAATAACATTCACAAACATTAATATTACAACAACACAAGAAATAGCTTATGGGAGGGAGGGGGCGAATTGTGACTGAAATGCACGCAGTCTTGAGCTCGAATGACAAAACACAAAGAACACACCTTTATTAACATTACCAGCTAATCGGTCATACTAGTATTCCTACTCACTCAGGTAAAAATAAAATAACGTGTTTGAAAAAGAATCGTACGATTCTAATTTTAGATTTATTTCAACCTGTTATAAATATATTGACAGCATATCTATAACTGAGTACCTTTTAAGTTGAAATGCAAACAGATGCTTTTTAGAAAATTGAAATAAATTTGTTTTTACAACCCCCCCCCCCCCCCCCCCCCCAAAAAAAAAAGAAAAGAAAAAAATTCACATGATATTATATTTTGGTTATGGTCAACTCCAAAATGTTATATTTAAGAAAAGAATTTAATTTTTGAAGATTCATGAGGTATATGAACTACAACGCTTCACGCTAGCGCGCTTCAAGTCAAATATGCCGGCGTGAAGCGTTGTAGTTCATATACCTCATGAATGTTCAAAAATCAAATTCATTTCTTATATTTACATTATTTTTCTGATGACTTGCCATAAATTTATGCCTTTCAACTGTCATTTTTAAAGCAAAACAGTGTGCACTATATTTTTTGACGTCAAGTGCAGTATTATGACGTAACAATGGAGATATTCATGCTTATTCGTGGTACATATGTAATGTACATGTAGTTCATGAGAAAATGAACTGCATTTTATTTTGTAAAGAATCATAGGGGAAATTTATTGGAAATATAAATATTATAAATTGTAAATAAACACAAATATGAAAAATATTTTAAAAAATGTTTAATTGGAGACCAAAAAAAAATTGCACTCAAAGCAGATATTTGGAATTCCATTGCAAAAAGGAAAGAAAAATCAATGATTTCTTCAAATTCTTACAATAAAATACATTTAAATTGAAAAAAAAAATGAAAGCTAAATAAACATAAAATTTTTGTAGATGATGAGAATGACGCTACGAGCGATACGTCCGCCACGGAGATTCCGCTGGACACCAGCAGCAGTCAGCAGGTCAAGGAGTACGACTGTGTCATCTGTGGTACCACCTCACCCTCCACCGCTGAGAAGACCATGGGTCTGGTGGTGCTTCTACAGCCCAGTAGTGGTAAGTGTTACAAGGTGAATGATTGGATAATGTTGTCCTACAGCTAACCAATGGAAATAAAGGTAAGTGTTACAAGAGATTTGATTGGGTAATGTCATCCTATAACTAACCAATGGAAATAGTTGTAAGTGAAAAGTATTACAAGGTGAATGATTGGGTTATGTCATGATGGTAAGGACCTCTAAATGAAAGACTGGATAATGCCATCTTTTAAATAAATATTTAGATCTTGGGTAGGTGTTTGACCCATATAGACAGATTTCCCGGGGTCAAATTTGAGGAAAAAAATATTGGTTGGTTGGGATTTGATTTCGTGGTTGGAGAATGTTTAGAAGTAATGCATATGGAATTTTACATTTTATTGTGGTCATAAATTAGTAGGTCTCTCAAAGCCTTGAAATCAATGAGAATTTAAACCCCCATGAAAATTAGTGATGATTCAGAACATATTCAGGGGGAAAGCATGTAATGTTTGATGTTATATTGCAGTGTTGGGACACCGCCTACAGGAGAATGATGTAATCAGTCTACCCTTAAAGAAGGAACAACAACTCTACTCGCACATCTCCTGCTCTTCTGTCCAGAAACAGCAGCTCAAAACCATGTTTGAACACTTTGAAGAGGTAATCATTTCCAAGTGTGAAATTAAGACAAAAAGAACCCTGTATACAGTTTTACTTACTTTTACATTGTAACATGTAATTCTAAACAATTGATTATAAGTATATCATGTTTTAAGAAGAGTACATATAATTGTCATTGATTTGTTTTCTGTTTTTCAGAGTTCGTGTCAGTTGTCAGTGAACATTGGTTGGGAGGGAGGCGTGGTCATTCAGACCTGTGGTCACTATCTACACCTGGACTGTCATAGTTCTTACCTGTTGTCCCTCAGGGTCAGTTACATAAACGTTTGTTACAGTCACTGAGAAATTTACTTCAAAAGAAAAAATTAGAATTTTTAAAAATTTAATGTTGTTTCATTTGATTTCAAATTTGGATAAGTTCTTGGATATCGGTGGATAAATTTGTTCTTGAATTCTGGATATGTTACATCATATAAAGTACAAAAACAATTTTGTACAAACAATTTACATATAATTTTAAACTAGTATCTTAGGACTTTTTTCAAGCCTTTTTTCCTTGTGGGCATGGCGAGAATTAAGATAAGGATTGTCTTGTTTTCTTTGACACAGACTCAGGAGATGACAGGGAACTTGGCAGTCAATAAAGGAGAGTACTGGTGCCCCCTGTGTCGACAGTTGGCTAACTCCGTGATCCCAATTCCCCCGGAGGAGGATCAGTTTACAGTCAAGAGGCCCCTGTCTCCCGACCCCCAGCAACTGATCAAAGACGTAGCCGAAATGATGGTCTCCCGACCCATAACACCTGTACGTCCAACAGATCAATAGCATTGGCTTAACTTAGCATTGAAATTGTTAGAAATTCCACATTTAAGCAAATGATTAATGCTTTCTAGTTTGAAGTAGAGTTATTTCTGAAGTCTTAACTAAAAAAAAATTTTAAAAGATAATTTAAAGTTTAAAAAATGTACCCATAAAAGATAGAATTTCAAATGCAAAACATGATATATAAATTTCAATTTTAGGCTACGTAAATTTAAATCTCTGGTTCTCAGGACAATTTTCTCCGAAACAGATGCAGGAAGAAGGCTCTTTTATGTATAAATATATTTCTACTTTCAGAGATCCCCTAACCTTACTAAGGTTATGGGTAGTGTAATGGAGGACCTGACTAACGCTACATACGGGAAGTTTAAGACCTACACTAGTTCCCAAACCTCTGAGAGTGTGCTTCTCTTTGTGTGCTCTGTAGCCAGGTTAGACTGGTTCTCTGTTACTGTAAACCAACTTTTATTCCTAAAATACATGTATATCGGCAAGTTTCGTGACCTTCTTTCTATTGCAAATATTTCTGTTTTCAAACAAATTATTCACCTTAATTTTGCTTTATGTAGAATGTTGTGTTAGTGGCAAAAATTAGTTTTTGGCTATGGAATCCCAACTAAAAAATAGCCAATAAAAGATGTCAGGAATAAAAATTGGTTTACAGTATTTAAAGATATATGCATGTGATCAAATTTAGTCTGATATCACTTGTGCAAGAGAGCTTAAACAAATGAAATAAAATATCTAGAGAGCCTATGAGAGATGTTCCTATTTTCTGTGAGCAGTTAATATGATGTCATTGTAATGATTTACTAAGTGTTGAGGATGATTTTGCAGGACGAACCTTGAGATGGAGCTAGTCAACAGAGGGAAAGTTCTCATAGAGTCCACGTCTCAATCAGGAAAACGCTGTTTCTGTAAGTTTATACAGGGTCATAGGTCACTAACATTTCACAGGGTTATAGTTCACTTATTTTAAAAGGTCAAAGGTCACTGATATTTCATAGAGAAAAGAAAGATGTGTATTGAGGTTTGGTTTGACTTGATGAAATGTTCTTCTTTGTGGTATTTGAATGTAATCTTGTATTTCAGTGCCAACCTACCATGTTCTCAGCATGCACAGTAAAATTCTGACTACCAAACCCTATACTGATCTCTGGTCACACATGACTGGCTTAAGCCGATCTGAACAGACCGATAGGTAAGCAAATCTATAATTATACATGTATAGATCTCTTGTCACACATGACTGGCTTAAGCCGTTTCAAACAGATTGATAGGCAAGCAAATGTTCACATTGATTTCCCCCCATCTTTCAACAACCTGAGTGAAGAAACTAAAAGATTAATTCAGTGTTGCAAAGGTCCTCAATCCTCAATCATGCATGACTTCAAGGAGATGCTTATAAAAAAGAGGTTAATAACATTAGTCACATGTTTGTCATTGTTGTGTACTTCCCTTTCAGTGTATCCCTGTATCATAAAGAAGTTCCCCTGCTTCTGAAGGACCCGGTGTCTCTCCTGATTCAGATCCTGTTAACTCTACCATCCACAATGGAAATAGGTATTGTTCAATCTTAGTTTTTAGCTCACCTGAGCCGAAGGCTCAAGTGAGCTTTTCTGATCACATTTTGTCCGGCGTCCGTCTGTCCGTCTGTCTGTCTGTCCGTAAACTTTTCACATTTTCAACTTCTTCTCAAGAACCGCTGGGCCAAGACCAAACTTGCCACAAAGCATCCTTGGGTGAAGGGGATTCAAGTTTGTTCATATAAAGGGCCATGCCCTTATTCAAGGGGAGATAATTGAGAATTAGTGAAAATTTGGTGGTATGTTTTAAAAATCTTCTTCTTAAGAACCACTGTGCCAGGAAAGTTGAAACTTATGGGGAAACATCCTCAGGTAGTGTAGACTTTAAGGCCTATGATCATCAAACTTAGTCAGTTGATGCATCTTGGGTCCTTGAACAACGTCAACTTAAAAGTAGGTCACCGTGACCTACTTTTTGAACTTTAAGACTTATCCTTTTCAAAACATTTAATCCCATTATTTCAGGCACTGAAAGGGTTAGAATCTTCAAATCTTGTAAGTTGCTGCATCATGGGACCTTAAAACATATTTAAGAAAAAGTAGGTCACTGTGACCTAAGAATTTTGCAGGCATTTGTTTTCGAATTGTTTAAAAGGCATATTTTGATAACCTATGACCTATGATCATCAAACTTGGTCAGGAGATGCATCTTGGGACTCTGAAAAATGTCGACCAAAATGTAGGTCACGGTGACCTACTTTCGACATTTTATGGCTATATTTAAGTATCTTAGGTATTTATTGGCTTAGAATCATCAAAATTTGTGAGTTGATGCATCTTGGGTTTTCGGATAGTGACGACCAAAAATTAGGTCACAGTGACCTACTTTCGACAAATTTATGGATATATTTAAGTATCTCCAGTACTTATTGGCTTAGAATCATCAAACTTTGTCAGTTGATGCATCTTGGGTAATTCCACAAAAAGTAGGTCACGGTGACCTACTTTTGACATTTTATGGGTATATTTAAGTATCTCTAGTACTTTTTGGTTTAGAATCATAATACTTTGTCAGTTGATGCATCTTTGGTTTTAAAAAAGACCAAAAAGTAGGTCATAGTGACCTACTTTTGAATAAGGTATTTATTGGCTTAGAATCATCAAACTTTGTCAGTTGATGCATCTTGGGTTTTCGGATAGTGACGACCAAAAATTAGGTCACAGTGACCTACTTTCGACATTTTATGGCTATAATAAAGTATTCTCCGGTACTTATTGGATTAGAATCATCAAACTTTGTCAGTTGATGCATCTTCTTTGCAACAAATGCACGCATGAAAAGTAGGTCACAATGACCTATTTTGACATTTTATGGCTATATTTATGTATCTCTAGTACTTATCGATTTAGAATCATCATACTTTGTCAGTTGATGCATCTTGGATTTAGAAAAACAAAAATGTTGAAAAAGTAGGTCACAGTGACCTTTTTGAATATCTCAGGTATTTATTGGCTTAGAATTATCAAACTTAGTCAGCAGATAAATCTTGGGACTCTGAAAAATGTCGACTAAAATGTACTTTCGACATTTTATGCCTATATTTAAGTATCTTAGGTATTTATTGGCTTAGAATAATCAAACTTTGTCACTTGATGCATTTTGTGATTTCCAAGAATGTAGACGAAAAAGTAGTTCTAATTGGCTAAGAATCATCAAACTTTGTCAGGTGATGCAACTTGGGTCTTTAATAGGATACTTAGGGTTAGAGGCTTCAAATACAAGTGATAGGTTGTACAATTTATCAGAAGAGCGATTCAAGGCCCTTGGGCCTCTTGTATTTATATGGAAGCATCCCCAGGTAGTGTAGATTCAAATTTGTTCAAATCATGACCCCCCGGGGTAGGGCGGGGCCACAATGGCCTACCAAAGTTTTACATAGAAATATATAGGAAAATTCTTTAAAAATCTTCTTCTCAAGAACAGCAAAGCCATAATTGCTCATATTTATATGGAAGCATCCCCAGGTAGTGTAGATTCAAGTTTGTTCAAATCATGACCCCCGGGGGTAGGGCGGGGCCACAATGGCCGACCAAAGTTTTACATAGAAGTATATAGGAAAATTCTTTAAAAATCTTCTTCTCAAGAAGAGCAAAGCCTTAATTGCTCATATTTATATGGAAGCATCCCCAGGTAGTGTTGATTCAAGTTTGTTCAAATCGTGACCCCCAGGGGTAGGGCGGGACCAAAATGGCGGATCAACGTTTACATAGAAATATATAGGAGAATTCTTTAAAAATCTTCTTCTCAAGAACAGCAAAGCCATAATTGCTCATATTTATATGGAAGCATTCCCAGGTAGTGTAGATTCAAATTTGTTCAAATCATGACCCCCGGGGGTAGGGCGGGGCCACAATAGCCGTCCAAAGTTTTATATAGAAATATATAGGAAAATTCTTCAAAAATCTTCTTCGCAAGAACAGCAAAGCCATAATTCATCATATTACTATGGAAGCATTCCCAGGTAGTGTAGATTCAAGTTTGTTCAAATCATGACACCCCCCCCCCAGGGGTTGGGCGGGGCCACAATGGTCAACCAAAGTTTTATATAGAAATATATAGGAAAATTCTTTTAAAATCTTCTTCATTAGAACAGAAAAGTCATAATTGCACATATTTATATGGAAGCATCCCCAGGTAGTGTAGATTCAAGTTTGTTCAAATCATGACCCCCGGGGGTAGGGCGGGGCCACAATGGCCGACCAAAGTTTTATATAGAAATATATAGGAAAATTCTTTAAATATCTTTTTCTCAAGAATAGCAAAGCCATAATTGCTCATATTTATATGGAAGCATCCTCAGGTAGTGTAGATTCAAGTTTATTCAAATCATGACCCCCGGGGGTAGGGTGGGGCCAAACTTTTGGATTCAAACTTTTCAATAGTAAACCAATTACTACTTTTTCCTAGCCACAATGCTCTGGTGAGCGATGTGGCCCATGGGCCTCTTGTTACTGTAAATGTATTATATTTGGAGTGTATGATATTTGGTGGATGCTTATATTTCAACAAGTTAGCATAGATTTGATTTAGTGCTATCTGAATATGTAACATATAAATGTATGATATACAAGACATTTAGCGACTCCTATTTGTCAAAATTACTAAATAGAATATGCCGATATATGTAATCATTAACAGTATCTGAGTAGTATTAAAGATACTTCATTGATGTATTAGCATGAATTATAAGTACCAAGCCCTAGAAAGATTTCTGGTCTGTATAAAAATAAAATATTTTAATATTAAAATAATTAATAACCTTGAAAGATATTTTCATTCTTTTATCTCTTTCATGAGAAAGTACACAAGGTAGATAATTATGGTTATTAACTAGATGCGTTCTTGTTGCTTGTGCAACAAGCAGGTCTTCCGACCGACTTTTCTTTAGAGTTCTCTGCTCCGTCATCCTATGAAATAGATTTCATAATGTATATTATTTTACGTTCATTTAAAGCAGTCTCTCGACATAGATCATGAGTATTACAGTAATTCCACAACATATCTCAAAATATAGCTTTTAAAAATCGGTAAAATCTTCCATACATGTTAAAAAAGAAAGAAAAGTCATATGCAACTGAAAAAAGACAGAAACAAAGAACAAAGAAAAAAATTTTGCAATGCCCCCAGCGGGATTCGAACCCCCAACAGTGAAACAAAGTTTGGATCGGTCATATCTTTGCAACAAATGCACGCATGAAAATATTGAAACCATATTAAGAATTCTTAAAAGATACACTATCAACCCTGTGAATCTCAAAGAAAAATATTTAAAAAACAAAAAAGTTGAAAAATTTGACTTTTTGAAATCACTTCCGTTTGCGACCAGATGTTAAAACGATGCAAAATTAAATTCGTTCCACATATTTCCATGTGATGCTCTATCACCTCAGTGAGTTTCATTTTTATATCTTAAGCCATTCTCGATAAAAATGCTGGACAAAATGCCATTTAAAAAATACAATTTTCCCCCAAAATCGCGAACGGAAGTGAATTTTGAAAAATTGAAGGACACCCCCAGAGATATTAACATGAAGCATCATCCCTGCAAAACTTGTTTAAATTGAACCACACACAGCTGAGATATGACCTGTACTATGAAAAGTGGAATAATAATAATAACTAGATGCGTTCTTGTTGCTAGAGCAACAAGCAGGTCTTCCGACCGACTTTTCGTGTGTGTTCTATGCTGCGTTATCCCATGAAATAGATTTCAGAATGTATTTTTTGTTTACGTTTATTCACACCAGTCTCTCAACATACATCATGATTATTACAGGTATTTCTCAAAATATCTCAAAAAATAGCTTTTAAAAATTGGCAAAATCTTCCATACATGTTAAAAAAGAGAGAAAAGTCAATTGCAACTGAAAAAAAAGACAGAAACAAAGAAAAAAATTTTACAACGCCCCCAGCGGGATTCGAACCCCCGACAATGGGACAAAGTTTGGTTCGGTCATATCTTTTCAATATATGCACGCATCAAGATATTGAACACATATTTAGAATTCTCATACGACACTCTATAAACCCTGAAAATCCTACAGAAAAATATTGAAAAACAAAAAAGTTGAATTATTAGATTTTTGGAATTCACTTCCGTTTGCGACCGCAAGTGCCAACGACGAAAAATAAAGGTCGTTCCCCATAACGGAGTTCAATGTTCTATCACCTTAGTGAGTTTCACTTTCATATCTTAAGCCTTTCACTAGAAAACTGCTGGACAAAATGCCTTTTAAAAAAAACAAAAATCCCCAAAAATCGCGAAAGAAAGTGAATTTTGAAAAAATGAAAAACACGTATGGAGATATTCTCATGATGCATCCTCCCTTTAAAAATCTTTCAAATCCGTCCACGCACAGCTGAGATATCGCCCTAACTATGAAAAAAAGAATAATAATAACTAGAGCAAAGCTCTTTGCAAAGCAACGAGTAGGTCTTTCGTCCTGTTTGACCAGAAGTAGTTTTCATATTTAACAAGAATGAGAAATAACGCCTAAAAATGTTTTGACTCCTCCAAAGCTATGTTAAATAATGCAAAAATAAGCTATTTTTGGCTACTTCCGGTTTGACCGGAAGTGATGACGACGGACGGAAAATTAATTTTTATGCTTCCAGAGACATATGTTACCCAAAAACTTGTAAAAAACGGCAAAAATATGCGTTTTCTGACTACTTCCGGTTTGGCCGGAAGTGACATCACCGGACGTATTTTGACGACTCCATTAGATTAAGCTTGACATTTTGAACAACTTTGCTTCTTTGACGTATTACAAATTCTCAATACGTTTTGAGATATAAAGAAAAATCTTTCGTCTCCTCTAGACCCTTAATTTTAGGGGCCAGCCCTTTTTACCAGATACCATTCGAAAGATCTTGAAATTCTACACTTCTTTTGTTCTACATATTTTAACAAAATATTTCCAGGTAAAAAGCTATCGTAGAAAAGGTGTCAAAAAGTTTTTGAAATTCGCAATAGGACTATTTTCGGGCCATAATGAGCTTCTGTACACAGCAATTTCCGTGAATATGAAATACGTTCTGCACAACTTCATTTATTGCTTTATTATCACTGAAAATCTCAAGTTTCTGTCTTAAGCCGTTTTCATGAAAACTTGTGGACAAACTAACCCTATAAAATTCACTAAAATGCAAAAATCTCGGAACCGGAAGTGACGTCATCACAATAAAAAAAACATATGTCTAGATTTTTTCATGTTCCATCAGCCCTGAAAGTTTCATGAAAATACATCGAGCCGTTTCCGAGAACTCGCGTGCACAAAATCGGTAAGAAAGAAAAAGAAAAAAACTGTGGAAAAGAAACCTAAGAATAACAGAAAGGTCTTCCATTGGAAATGGAAGACCTTAATAATAATAAAAAACAGACGAATAACAATAAGGTCTTCCGAAGGAAGTCGGAAGACCTTAATAATAGAAAACAGAAGAGGTCTTCCGAAGGAAGTCGGAAGATCTTAATTAATTTTAAACATGTAGGATGTCTTTTGGTGTTAAGGAAGACCTTAATTAATTTTAAACATGTAGGATGTCTTTTGATTTTTCTTTTGTACAGAACACTTTGAGAGTGTGTTGAGAGTCCTGTATAATGTTGTGTACATCAAAGCTATAGCTGCCACCAGTTGTACGTTTACCTCAGAGGAGAGAGAGGCCTGGAGAAAGAAAGGGAGACATGTGAGTATGGCCGTCCTGTCAGTGAAACGGGAAAGGGGGGGGGGGGTTGGTCTTTATACAGAGAGACATACGGGTCAGGCAGTAAAATTCATGCCATTCATTATATACTGTACATTCATATATATATTTTAGGGGTCAAGTTGTTTTCAAGGTTTGAGAAAAAATATTGTTGCAGGGGGATTTGATTTTGTGGTTGAAGAATTTGACATTGTTACACATTTGAAAACTTATGGTTCTTGGAGGACAGGTATTTGTGGGTCTCTTCCTCCTTCAAAAATAACAAAAATTAAACATAGATCAAAATCAGTGATTCTACAGTTATTATTCATAACAATATGTCTATTTATAGTCCCAGCTGACATCTTTGGAGGGAATGATGAGTCATGTGATTACGCGTCTACAGCTAAGTCGGGTTTACGACGACATTGACATGGACAAAGACATTCCTGCAGTAAGACCAGAATTCCTTGATCGCCACTCTTATTTCATTATCTTAGAAGACCTTGAAGAAAAATCATGAAAAATGCAATTTATTTATGTGAAAGTTTTGCATGTACTGCTAGGGCTGGGACAATACAACTTTTTCTATATCGATACGTATCACGATATTTGAGCCACGATATGATATGTATCACGATATATTTAATTGCTTATAAAATCTGTTTTCGCATTGAAATAAACAAATTTTTTCTTTGCAAATAAGAATAATTTATTCAAAATAGTTGTTTATATGTTGTAAAACAAAAATATTTTACTCAAGTGGTGTTAATTATTATTTACTTCACATATTTATATTTATCCTATTTACTTTATATATTAAACCCCAAATGTTAAATAAACAAAGAAAAATAGAAGTAAGATTTTGGGGGGCTATATTTCGATATTTCTTCATATGTATCGATATGCGTATCATCCTCACACATATCACGATATATCGATATCTCGATAAATCCTCCCAGCCCTATGTACTGCACATACTTGACAAACAGCACATATCTGAGTGATCGAAAAGCAATCTACAGCTACATAATTATACAGTTTAGAACTTTAGGATCACTTAAAAGAAAAGTGTTAATGTATATAATTTGATTATAGATATGTCAGAGTGTCTGGTCCCCTCAGAGTGTGGACATGGCCATACAGGACATATTTCTACCCTTCCTCCGAGTCGCCGCCCTACTCAAGTACCACTTATTTAATGTGGAGTTCCCCAAACAAATGGTTGGTTCTCTGCACTCATTTACTGGTTGATACATAGGGCTGTAGAGTCAAGATTGAAATAAATCAAAGGATAACATATAAATATTTTTATAAATAAAAATGATTATACCTGTATTTGTATAGACAAGTGTACATTGTATTAAATTGTACATTTATATTGGCATACATTGTCAAATATTAAAGCATTTCTATTGTTTATTGAAGGGAACAAATCAAAATTTTGCATCTTTGTTTGATGTTGTCTATCATTTTTTAGAAATTAGTAAAATTGATAAATTTAAAAGAAATCTGAAACATTTCAAGATTTCTCTTGTAAATTAAGTGTGAGTGAATTGCATCTTTGCTAGCCAAGTGTCTGATGTGTTGAAGGTAAACAAATCGGACAGTTGGCTAGCAAATATGGAGTGAATTGATGAACTGATATTTTGTTTGTTTTTCAGTCCTCTGATTGCGAGTTTCTACACCTGTGTGATTACCTTAAGATCCAGGGGACCGGCCCCACCCACAATGATGGCCAGAGCACCTGTTCCTCCCGGGTCAGGTGGACCACCGAGGAACCACTCAACCTGACCCGAGCCTGGTGCACTGACCTCGCCAATGTAGCCAATCAGGAACCAGTAGATTTCAAGGTCAGAGGTCACATCTAAGAAAAGCTTTCATGCCAAAAAATATTTCAACTGGGTATAGTCAAAGGATTAATAAAATTTAATTCATGTAAAGAGTCCAACTGATTTATGTTAGAGGTACATGTAGTGACAGGAATCATTGCTGATCATAGAGTATGGAATAGGTGAATTGATTAACACTAGAACAGCAGAATATGCATATAAAAAATGTGCTTAAAATGAATTGATGCTTACATTGAAGTGATTTTAATTCCTCATGACTTTAAAATATTTTGTGAACAATACAGATAGTATATAACATATCAGAATTGGACGTCCCTAGCACTTCATTGTAAGCAAGTATGTCCATGTATCTTGAATGGAAAGAACTGCTTCACATAAAATTATTATTTTTGATTTCAGTCCTTGCTCATGGCCAATACAAACTGGCGCCGTCCTCAGCTGATTGAACTGCCCCACCAGTATTACCTGATCTTCCAGGCGTACAGCCAGAAGTCGTGCGTGACGTGTGGGGAGGTACCTAATGACCCCGCCATCTGTCTGGTGTGTGGACAGTACACCTGCTTCAGACAGAACTGTTGTACACAGCAGGGGGTCTCAGAGTGTGTCCATGTAAGTAATATGTTGATATTTTCTGAGAAAAGATTTTTCAACTAACATACTGACGGGTTCTTTATTACGTGATCGGGTTTGTGAAAACGTGATCATGTTTGTAATTAGGTGATCTGGTTCATTATTACATGATCAGATTTGTGATTACATGATAAGGTTCATTATGACGTGATCATGTTTGTGATTAGGTGATTGGGTTTGTGATTAGGTGATTGGTTTCCTTATTACATGATCAGGTTCATTATTACGTGAAAGGGTTCATTATTACCAGATCGGATTCGTTATTACATAATCTTGTTTGTGATTAGGGTGAGTTCACCATGCATCGGACACATACCTTGCTTCGAACAACTTTAGGCAATAAACTCTCTTTCAACTTAAGAGTTCTGTGTATTTTTTTGTTTCTGTCTTAAAGATGAAGATTTGATTTTTTTAATGATACCGATTGTTTTTATCATGTTGTGATAAAAATACCCCGAGAATGACCTTGAAGTTACATCATATTTTAGATCTTCAAAGGGGAATAACTTGAAATTTATGATTTTGCAATTTTTAAAGTTCTTTTAGATTCGACTTTCATGGAACGAGTCGGACTTTGGTGAATTTTGTCAGGGATTGGTAATTTTACATAAATTATAAAGAAATTTCACTTCAATGTTTGTTTAATTCTTATTAGAGCTGGTTTTTACTAGTATATTCATTTCACCATACATCGCACACAAATTAACCATGCATCGGAGACTTTCTGATGCAAAGTTAATCACTACCATTTTCATACAGAACCCAACTGACAGTTGTTTTTTGCGGAAATAGAAAATAAAAACTCTAAATTTACAGTCAAAATACAAGTTATCGATATATTACGTCTAGAATCTGACTCAATTTATTTCTACAAACCAGAGTATTTTAACGCATGAGAAAAAGGCGCGAATTATCGCATTACAAGCATTTTAAAGCCTTTCTAAGGCAGAGTGCATCTTGAATCTTTCCATATTTGTGCAACGATATTGTCAAATAAATTTAATTTTAGGGTTATTTCTTAGATAGAATATAAAAGTATATCCATATCAAGGATTTTAAAGCACTGTGATAAAGGTATGATATTTTTTCGGTTGAAATACCGTCTGTCCGATGCATGGTAAATAATGTCTGATCCATGGTGAATTTTTAGTTTTTTGAAAAAAATCAATTTTTGGTGATATTTTCTCAATAAAAGTCATATAATTTTGTCCCATATTTATATTTTAATCACATACTAAGTGTTAAGCTCCATTTTGATAATTTTCTGTTAGCGATATCGCAAGAACTTGTTGAAGTACAAGGGTGTCTGATGCATGGTGAATTCACCCTACATGATCATGTTCATGATAAGGTGAATCTGTTCATTATTATGTGCTTTGGTTCGTGATTATGTGGCTGGGTTGGTGATTATGTAATCTTGTTTGTGATGACGTGATCAGGTTCATTATTACGTGATCGGGTTTGTGATTACATGATTAGGTTTATTAATTTCTTTTCATCAGACCCATGTGCATGTAGTTTACATTTATCTTAAGAGTAGGAACTTCAAATTGCCTGCAACATTTGTTCAACATTTCCTGCTATCTGGAACTTTTTAAATTTCAATTTAATTTGCTTTCTGGTAATTTGAAAATAAAGACTCAAGTGTGACAGCTTATTAAAAAAAATAAAAATATCACTGGACTATTTTATTTCAGCATTCCATTCAGTGTGGTGCGGGTACAGGGATGTTCCTCCTGATTAACTCCACCATTGTGGTGGTCATTCGCGGGCCGCGCGCCACACTTTGGGGGTCTGTGTATCTGGACGACCATGGAGAGGAGGATCGCGACCTCAAGTAAGTGAACTTTGACCTTTAATGGGGTTCACTGTAGGACCATCTTCAGAGTATTTCAATCTGCTTGAAAAAAAGAGCTCTTTATAAATGAAGGAAATTTGCATTTAAAATTGTGTGTGAGTGTGCATGTGTTTGTGTTTTAAACCACATAACAGCTTTTGCAAGATAAAATATTTTTAGGTTGTGCATAATTTGATGATAACCAAGCCTTCTTCATCAGGAATTTTTTTTTGTATTCAGACACTAAGAATAGATTTATGAATTTATAAAGTAATAATGTTGATCTCTTTCGCAGGAGAGGGAAGCCTCTTTATTTGAGTAAAGAGAGATATCATCTGCTCCAACAGCAGTGGTTAACTCATAGCTTTGACAGAAGTTGTCAACGCTGGATCTGGCACCAGGATAGGCTGTAACCAATCAAAATGTTTATAAGCACCAGCTCACCACTGGATCTCACCAATCAGAATGTTCAACACATTCAGCCAATCCGAGTTTGTCTTTCTTTTCTCTCAGATTGGCTCTGATATTCAGCCAATCAGACAGCCTGTTTCAAATGTCAGAACAGCTAGGTAGGAAAGGAATTTACTCAACAAGGATTCTTTTTGGCTATTGGCTATTCCAAATGCTCAAATTTAATGAAGATTTAATGCTCATTCTGAGGACTGTGACAAAAATGGAGGACTGTTTTTTCTTTTTCCTATTGTTTGTTTTTAGTGATTCAGTATTAAAGCAGATGGGATGTTGATTTGTTAAATACTTGTTTTGCTAAATGTATTGTTGAAATTCATTTAAGAATCATGTTTATGAACTCTTTTAAAATCCATCTTGCTACATCAGAATTACTTCATTATATCCTTTACTTTATGTCATTATTAATAATATGAGAGAGATAGAGGTGCTTGCCATGGAGGATGAATAGGAACTGAAAATTTACCAGTATAAAAGGGGGGGGGGGGAGTTATACTCTTTATATGTTTTACAAAGTATAGATCTGATGACACATATTGGGATTTTTGAAGAGGGTGCAATTAAGTAAACAACTAATTGTAAATGTTGTGATTTTTAATACAAAGAGTTTGACTTTGTCAATATATTGCTGTTTTTTATGAGTAATTTTTAATTAGCACATTTACATCAGTGTGTATTCTAGTCTAAGGAAAAATAAAAACCACTTTGTCATGCCAAGGTTGTGCACCCAGTCCACTTGTTTGCAAATGAAAGGTTGATTTTTTTTTATAAATGAAGTCAGTCAATTAAATTCAAATATTCTGTTCTGAATGATTTGGTGCCATTTTTTGTCCCTAGCTAGCTTACTTTTTTATTATCTTATCTGGCTGGCTGCTCCAGAGGTTAAAGTTTGTGGATCCTGAACTGATTTTTCTAGTAGGTAGAACACTTTAATTTTAATGAACTAGACAAACTACACAGCTTTTCTAGCTGATGACCTGTATACTTTTCTCCAGCCACGACATGTATGACTTCTGGCACCAGCTAGCTTATCGCTGCATAGAGTTGTCATTTGATAACACAACCAAATGGCTTTCTCGGTAAGAAATCGGGTGGGGGGATATCAATTCTGTGAACTTGCTTGTAGCTATTCTTTATATACAGTGTAGATTTCAGTCATATAATCATGGAGATGCCATTTTGTTACAAGGCACATCAGACTTGAAGGAGTGTGCTGTTGCTATTTGGAATGTATCAATGTTTTATTACTATGGACTTTGTTTTGATTATACTGTTATGATGGATTACAAAATGTATATCCAGTATTTTGTTGTGTGTTATATGAAATAAAAGCCAAGAAAATAACTGTTACAACAAGCATGTGTTGATGTATGTTTCAAGTTTTTTTTTGCCTTAAAATGTGAACTTTACTGATGCCAAAACTGCTGGAGTAAATCAAATGATGGCCATATCTTTGCCTTTTACACATAATTCTTGATTAATTCTTCTTTCAACAAGATATGGTTCTTCATTGGTAAACTTGACCCCCCTCCCTGTTTAAAAAAAAATCCTGTATGGGCAAATTTCTTTGTGGTTGAAATTCTTCCTCAAGTTGTGTAGCAGAACTCAAATTTTGTTTTCTGATGTATGCCTAAGAAAATGAGATTAAGCTTGCAGCTTGGGTGAGCTAAAAAAGAAAAGAGAACTGATATGTAAATAAATAATTTATTTATTTTATACATAAATCACAAATAAATGCAAAAACACACTTTCAAAAGTTGATAAAAAAAATTATAAATCATGATACACATAGTCCTTTCGGTAGAAAATTTGAATTCTTCCAACGTACTCCATTGGAGAAAAAATAGCGCCTGGTATACATAATTGCCTGACTGGTCCATGAATTTATTGGTCTTGTTGATATGACTAGGTTCAAATGTAACTTTTGTAAAAGCTTGTTGAAAAAAAATCTTTGTTGTCAACATGGTCAATAAAAAAATAAGAAAATATTACAAATGCATATTATATTTGCTCATTCCAATTCAGCTTTCATTCTTCTTATATTTTTCAACATTGGCTGATCAAAGTTTTACATAGAAAAATAGTTAAAAAACGTCTTCTCCAGAACCATTAGGCCAGGAAAGATGAAACTCATGTGAAAGCATCCTCAGGTAGTGTAGATTCAAAGTTCAAATCATGACCCCAAGGGGCAGGGCGGGGCCACAATGGCTGATCAAAGTTTTCATAGCAATATTTAGGAATTTTTGAAAAATAAAAAAATCTTCTTCAGAACCACTGGGCCAGGAAAGATGAAACTCATGTGGATGAATCCTCAGGTAGTGTAAATTAAAGTTTGTTCATATCGTGACCTCTGGGGGTAGGGCGGGGCACAACGGCTGATCAAGGTTGTACATAGCGATACATATGAAAAATTGGACCAGGAAAGATGACACTAATGTGGAAGCATCCTCATGTAGTATAGATTCAAGTTTGCTCAAATCATGACCCCCCGAGGATAGGGCCGGGCCGCATAGGCTCATCAAAGTTTTACATAGGAATACATAGGATTAATCTTTTAAAAATCTTCTTCTCAAGATCAGCAGAGCTATGATTAGTGATATTTATATGGAAACATTCTCAGTTAGAGGTAATTCAAGTTTGTGCATATCATAACCCCTGGGGGTATTAGGTGGGGCCTAATGGGCAATCAAATCTTTACATAGAAATATATAATCTTTAAAACTCTTCTTCTCAAGTATTGCAAAATTATACACGTATGCTTTATTGAAATAGTGACATTCTCGAGTAATAAAAACTTCACCCCTACCTCCCCGAACAAGTAAACTTTTCAATATTGAGCTGATTTGTGTTTTTTTAACTAGCCCATGTGCTCAGGTGAGCAATGTGGCCCATAGGCCCCCTTTTTAAACATTTCATCTGACATTCAGAATTTAATGACTATGTATATTGTAATAGTTGCAAGTGTTTAACGCTAGTTAACATCACAGGAGTCTGAAATTTTTATCGTAAAAAAAAGGGGGGGACGAAAAAATATCCCACCTTTATGAAATTTTTCTTTGCCACATGATAGTTTTCAGCTGGCTGATTTTAATTGGAAAAATTTGTGAAATAATTAATTAAATTTCTTTTCTTTTTTTTTTAATGCTTTATTTTTGAAAATGTTTATACTTATAAAAGAAACAAAAAACACACCCTCACACACCCTCACACACCACACGCACTCTGTGCACCTTTCCCAAAATACCAGCTTTCATAATTACACCTTAAGTAATAATTGGAATTATGTATGACAAATCAAATCAAACATTGCCCATTTACTATGCATTTTAGTTCTACAATGAAAATTGCTCTCACAATATTTTTCAATTTTCCTGTAATACTTAAAAATGTTAACAGCTTCTGTAAATTTAGGTATAGTACATTGAGTTCTTGAGTAAAACAAATACTTTTTTTCCTAACAAGATGAGAAAATTTTCTAAATAACTTCCTTCAATATTACCCAGCATCACCTTTTGTTTTGAAATTACATAATCATTTTCAAATGCTTGATACCAATTTTCACAATTTTTCCAAAAAATAGTTACATGTTTACACTCATAGAAAAGATGAATCAATGTTTCTGGATCTGTTTTACAGAACGAGCAAAGATTATTTTCAGCAATTTTTATCTTGTGAAGAAAAGAATTTGTGGCAAGGAAGCCCATAAGAATTCTATACTGAAAGTAAATTATTTTGGTGTCCTTTGTGCAAATTGAAGCATTCCGAAGGAAAAATTCCCAGTGTTTTTCTGTAATAGGTTCATTTAAATAAATCTCCCATTTTAACTTTTTGGATTCTGGTGCCACAAAATTCTTATCTTTTATAATTTTATACAGAAATTTTATACTTGTCACAGACATCATTTTTTGTATAACACATTTCTCTGGTGCTGCAAGTTGATTGCCTGTTTCTGTCATATAAACAGTTACTTCCCTTTTTACTCTTGCTGGTACTCTTGATACAATATTAAAATAATTAAAAAAATTATTAGTACCAACTATTTTTTTAACATCATTAAAACACCTAAATTTTCCATCATCCAACAACATTTCTTTCCATACTTTAATACCTTTTCCCACCCAAGTCTTGTAAAAACTCCATTTTTTGATATCAACAAAATTTCTAATATCAGTATATAAATAATCTGTAGCACTCAAAGAATCTTTTTTAACAATTATAAGAGCTTTTATAACATCTTTCCAAAAATCATTGCCTATATAATTCAAAAATTCTGAGAGTTTTTCTTTGGTTAAATAAAAAACAAAGTTAAAATCTTTTTGATTAAAAATACAGGATAATAATGGCTGCCATGCTCCACTGTTGTCTGTAAGGACTCTCTTGACCCATTTAAGTTTTATATATGAAATAAAGGAGGATAAATGGATCATGTTTAGTCCACCTTCTTCAATTTTTCCTATCAATGTATTTCTTTTTACTTTTTCCACCTTATATGCCCAAATAAATTGAAATAAAATTTTATTGATCTCATTAAGTAATTCCTTTGATGGATTTGGAAGAGCTGAGAATAGGTGTACAAATTTTGGAATAACAAGGGTATTAATGACTGTTATCTTTCCTATTGGGGTCAAATCTCTTTTTGCCCAGGATGCAAACAATTTTTTGATAGAATTTATTTGGGTCAACTCCAATATAAGGGTATGTAGTCCCAATTCGGAAGCTTATATATATATAAAAGTAGTGATTCGGTTCTACTGTTGACCGTGGACAGTTGACAGTTGACATTTAACCATTTCTACTGTCGACCGGGAACGGTTGACAGTTGACATTTAACCATTTCTACTGTCGACCGGGGACAGTTGACAGTTGACATTTAGCCATTTCTACTGTTGACAGGGAACGGTTGACAGTTGACATTTAACCATTTCTACTGTCGACCGGGGACAGTTGACATTTAACTATTTCTACTTTCGACCGGGGACAGTTGACAGTTGACATTTAATCATTTCTACTGTCAACCGGGGACAGTTGACAGTTGGTTAGTCTCGCATACATAACTGCGATTAAGATTAGTCTCGCATACATAACTGTGATTAGGGTTAGTTTCGCATTCATAAGTGTGATTAGGGTTAGTCTCGTATAAATAGCTGTGATTAGGGTTAGTCTCGCGTATAAACAGCTGTGATTAGTATTAGTTTCGCATTTATAGCTGTGATTAGGGTTAGTTTCGTATAAATAGCTGTGATTAGGGTTAGTTTCGCATTTATAGCTGTGATTAGGGTTAGTTTCGCATTTATAGATGTGATTAGGGTTAGTGTCCCCAGCCGACAGTAGAAGATATGGAAAGTGTCAACTGTCAACCGTCGACCTGTCCCCGGTCGACACTAGATCATGTGGAAAGTGTCAACCGTCAACCTGTCCCCAGTCAACACTAGAACACAATGGATGTGTCAACTGTCAACCGTCGACCTGTCCTCGGTCGACACTAGAACACAAGAGAAGTGTCAACTGTCAACTGTCGAACTGTCCCCGGTTGACACTAGAACACTAGGGAAGTGTCAACTGTCAACCGTCAACCCTGTCCCCAGTCGACACTAGAACACAAGAGAAGTGTCAACTGTCAACTGTCAACTGTCGACCTGTCTCCGGTCGACACTAGAACACTAGGGAAGTGTCAACTGTCAACCGTCAACCTGTCCCTGGTCGACACTAAAACACAACGGAAGTGTCAACTGTCAACTGTCAACCTGTCCCCGGTCGACACTAGAACACAAGGGAAGTGTCAACTGTCAACTGTCAACCTGTCCCTGGTCGACAGTAAATTCATGTGTGGAATGTAGAAATAATTCACTCCGTAACATTACTGAAATATACAGTGATGTATGAATATGTTAATATTGTTTCAGTCAAAGTACTACTTTATCCTTATATTGGAGTTGAGCCATTTATTTTGGGTCGATAATTGACAGAAACAATATTATCTAAGTTTTTTGTGAAAATTATTCCTAAGAGCTTAAAGGTATCAGCACTCCAATTAATTTTTAAGTCATCACATAGAGTTTGTTTTGATCCTGCCTTGCTTCCCAACCATACTGCTTGAGATTTTGAAATATTAAGCTTCAAACCAGAAGCATTTCCAAATTTTTCAATTATTTTCATTGATTCTCTCAAAGACTTTTCACTTCCATCTAATGTTAAAAATGAGTCATCTGCATATTGTCCTAGTTATGTTCCCCAAACGAAGTTGGGGAACATATTGTTTTTACTCTGTTTCTTATTATTAAGGTCTTCCGTCTTCACGGAAGACCTTATAGTGATTCTATTGTTTCTTATTATTATTATTCTTTTTTTTTTAGACAA